ACCCCAAACCCCCCCCAAAACCCCCAAATCCCCCTCAAAATCCCCCCAGAACCCCCAAAACCCCCCAAACCCCCCTCAAAATCCCCCCAAAATCCCCCCCAAATCGCCCCAAAATCCCCCCCAAATCCCCCTAAAATCCCCCCAAACCCCTCAAAATCCCCCCCAAACACCACACAACCCCCCCCAAATTCCCCCCAAAATCCCCTCAAAACCCCCAAAATCCCCCCAACCCCCCCCAAATCCCCCCCAAAATCCCCCCAAATCCCCCCCAAAATCCCCTCCAGACCCCCCAAAATCCCCCCCAGAACCCCCAAAATCTCCCCCAAAATCCCAAAATCTCCCTCACCCCCCCCCCAAATCCCCTAAAATCCCCTCCCAAAATCCCCCCCAAACCCCCTAAAATCCCCCAAATCCCCCCCAAAATCCCCCTAAAATCCCCCCCAAACCCCTCCAGACCCCCCAAAATCCCCCCCAAACCCCCCCCAGCCCCTCCCCCATTCCCCTCCCCCCCTCACCGCCGCTCGCGGGGCTCTCGGCCGCCCCTCCCCCGCTGCCCAGGGGGGTCTCGGCCTCCAGGAATCCCCGCAGGGCCCGGGCCGCGCCCTCCCCGCGCTGCTGCTCCCGCTGCCGCCGCCGCTCGGCGCGCTGCCGCTCCCAGGCCTGGGAACACCCAAAAAACACCCAAAAACACCCAAAAACCGCACCCCAGAAACCGTGAGAGACCCAAAATGTGTGAGGGACACCCCCCAAACCGGCCCCAAAAAATCCCTCCAAATTCGGGGATTTTACCCCAAATTTCTGGGGATTTTTTAACCCCAAATTCCTGCCCCTGCTGCCGCTCCCAGGCCTGAGAACACCCGAAAAACACCAAAAAACACCCAAAAACGGGACCCCAGAAATGTGTCAGGGACCCCAAAATGTGTGAGGGACACCCCAAAAAAAATCCGTCCCAAATTCAAGGATTTACCCCAAATTTCTGGGATTTTTTAACCCCAAATTCCTGCCCCTGCTGCCGCTCCCAGGCCTGGGAACACCCGGAAAACACCCAAAACACCCAAAAACGGGACCCCAAAAACCGTGAGAGACCCCCAAAATGTGTGAGGGACACCCCAAAAAATCCCTCCCAAATTCGGGGATTTTACCCCAAATTTCTGGGGATTTTTTAACCCCAAATTCCTGCCCCTGCTGCCGCTCCCAGGCCTGGAAACACCCAAAAACCACCCCAAAAACACCCAAAAACGGGACCCCAGAAATGTGTCAGGGACCCCAAAAACCCTCAGGGAACTCCCCCAAACCGGCCCCAAAAAATCCGTCCCAAATTCGGGGATTTTACCCCAAATTTCTGAGATTTTTTAACCCCAAATTCCTGCCCCTGCTGCCGCTCCCAGGCCTGAAAACACCAAAAAACACCCAAAAAACCGCACCCCAAAAACGTGTGAGGGACCCCAAAATGTGTGAGGGACCCCTCCGTCACAAATTCGAGGGTGTTAGCCAAAAAATTCTGGGATTTTACCCCAAAAAATTCCAGGATTTTACCCAAATTTCTGGGATTTTTTAACCCCAAATTCCTGCCTCTGCTGCCGCTCCCAGGCCTGAACCCCAAAAAATCCCAAAAATGAGAACCCCTAAATGTGTCAGGGACCCCAAAACCATCAGGGACACCCCCTAAACCAGCCCCAAAAAATCTGTCCCAAATTCAGGGAGTTTACCCCAAAATTCTGGGATTTTACCCCAAATTTCGGGGATTTTAACCCCAAATTCCTGCCCCTGCTGCCGCTCCCAGGCCTAAAAACACCAAAAAACACCGAAAACACCAAAAAATGGGAACCCCAAAATGTGTCAGGGACCCCAAAAATGTGTGAGGGACACCCCCCAAACCGGCCCCAAAAAATCCCTCCCAAATTCGGGGAGTTTACCCCAAAATTCTGGGATTTTACCCCAAATTTCGGGGATTTTATCCCAAATTTCTGGGATTTTACCCCAATTTTCTGGGATTTTTTACCCCAAATTTCTGGGATTTTATCCCAAATTTCTGGGGTTTTTTACCCCAAATTCCTGCCCCTGCTGCCGCTCCCAGGCCCCAAAAACTCGAACCCCAAAATGTGTCAGGGACAGAATTTTTTGGGTATTTTTGGGATTTTTTTTTTTTGAGGGATTTTTAGGGAGATTTTTAGGGAGATTTTTGATGATTTTTGGAGGTATTTTTGGGAGGTTTTGGGGGGATTTTTCAGGGGATTTTTGTGAGTTTTTTGCAGGATTTTTGGGGTATTTTTGGGAATTTTTGAGGGATTTTTAGGGAGATTTTTGGTGAGATTTTTGATGTTTTTTTGAGGTATTTTGGGAGGATTTGTGGATTTTTTGGGGCATTTTTGTGGGATTTTTTTCTGAGATTTTTGAGGTGTTTTGGGGGGGATTTGGGGAGTTTTTTGGGGGATTTTTCAGGGGATTTTTGTGAGTTCTTTGCAGGATCTTTTGGGTATTTTGGGGAACTTTTTGAGGGATTTTTAGGGAGATTTTTGGTGACCTTTATGATGTATTTTTGAGGTATTTTGGGGTGGAATTTTGGGAGTTTTTTGGGGAATTTTCAGGGGATTTTTGGGAGATTTTTTGGGGATTTTGGGGGTCCTGGGGGGTGGGGTTGGGCAATTTTTTGGGGCATTTTTGTGGGATTTTTGTGAGATTTTTGAGGCGTTTTGGGGGGGATTTTGGGAGGTTTTGGGGGGATTTTTCAGGGGATTTTTTCTGAGTTTTTTTGCAGGATTTTTGGGGGTATTTTTGGGATTTTTTGAGGGAGATTTTTGTGACATTTTTGATGTATTTTTGAGGTATTTTTGGGAGGTTTTGGGGTGATTTTGGAGAGATTTTTTGGGGATTTTTGGGGGGATTTTGGAGGATCTTGGGGGGATTTTTTGGGGAATTTTGGAGAGATTTTTTGGGGAATTTTGGGGGGATTTTGGAGGATCTTGGGGCGATTTTTGGGGGGATTTTTTTAAGAGCTTTTTGGGTATTTTTGGGGTGTTTTAGGGCATTTTTGGGGTGCTCACCTTGGTCTCCCGGGCGATTTTGGTTTTCTGGTGCAGCAGGTAACTCACGATGGCCTCGCGCTCGTACAGGAACCCATCGGGGCTGCAGCAAAATCCCCAAATTATTTGGGGTCAGGTGAATAAAAACCACAAAATTTTGGGGGGGGTTTTTGGGGTTTGGTTTGGGGGGGATTTTGGGGCTTTGGGGTCCTGAGGGAGTATTTGGGGTGGCTTTGGAGGTTTTTGGGTCCTGGAGGAGATTTGGGGTGGTTTGGGGGTGATTTTGGGGCCTTTTTTGAGGCGCTTTTGGGGTATTTTGGGGTTTTTTTTGGGATGGTTTTGGGATTTTTTGAGGTGCTTTTAGGGCTGGTTTTGTGGGTATTTTGGGGCTGTTTCAGGGATATTTTTGTGGGTATTTTGGGGCTGTTTTCTGGGTATTTTTGTGAGTATTTTGGGGCAGTTTTGAGGTTGTTTTGTGGGTAGTTTTGGGCAGATTTTGGGGCTATTTTGTGGGTATTTCTGGGAAGTTTTTGGGGCTGGTTTGGGGGCATTTCGGGGCTGTTTTGTGGGTATTTTTATGGATATTTTGGGGCAGTTTTTGGACTATTTTGTGAGTATTTCTGGGGCACTTTCTGGGCTATTATCTGGGTATTCCTGGGGGTATTTTGGGGGTCGTTTTGAGCTACTTTGGGGGTATTTTTGGGGGTATTTTGAGGACATATAGGACTTGTTTTCTAGGTATTTTTTGAAAGTATTTCGCGGTTGTTTTGGGGGTATTTTTGAGGGTATTTCTGTGGCATTTTGGGGCTGTTTTGTTGGTATTTTTGTGGCTATTTTGGGGCTGTTTTGGGGTATTTTTGAGGGTATTTGGGGGCTGTTTTGGGGGTATTTTGGGGCTCGTTTTGGGCATATTTTGGGGCTGTCCTGCAGGAATTCTGGGGCATTTTAGGCTCTTTTGTGGGTATTTTTATGGATATTTTGGGGCTACTTTGGGGGCATTTTTGGGGCACTTTCATGCAGTTTTGTGGGCATTTTGGGGCTGTTTGTGGGTATTTTTGGGGGTATTTTAGGGCGGTTTTAGGACCGTTCTGTGGGTATTTTTGTGGGTATTTGAGAACGTACAGGACTTGTTTTCTAGGTATTTTTGAGAGTATTTCGGGCCTATTTTGGGGGCATTTCTGTGGGTATTTCGGGGCTATTTCGGGGGCATTTTGGGGCTCACTCACGTCACCACGGGGTCCCGGCAGGGCTGCAGGGACAGGCAGCAACAATCGAAATCCTTGATGGCGTCACGCCCCACCCGCACCCGCTGCGTGCCGTAACCCGAGGCCGCTACGAGGGACACAAAGCCACAATTGTCACCTCCCGTGCGTGTCCCCAAAGTCCCCAAACCCGTCCCGGTGCCAGGCGCCACCTGTGTCCTTCTTCCTCTCGTGGTAGCTGTACACGGCCCCCGCCGTGCAGTTCTTGCCGTGCCGCGTCATGGCCGCGCCTCAGCGGCTCCGAGATGCTCCTAAAGGGATCGAGAGCAGAATTTAAAGAGGTCTCGAGAGGTTTTTTTGGGAATTTTGGGGGGTTTTTTTGGGATTTTTGGGGGTTTGGGCGCGCGGCTCCCTCACGGCCGGCAACGGCGCAACACCGGAAGGCGGAAGTGGCGAACCGGAAGCGCGGCGGGTAAAAGGGTCCGGGTGGGAGCAGCGTTTTGGTTCCGGCCCCCGTCTCTCAGCTCCAGTTTGCACCAGTTCCGCTCAGTTCCTCTCAGCAGCTTAGCCACGCCCCCTCCGTGCTGATCCAAGCCCCGCCCCTATAGGGAGAAAGTCCCGCCTCTTTTCCTTTTATAGGGATGTCAGGGCCACACCCTTACCCCGCCCCTTCCTCATAGAAAATGCCTGGCCCCGCCCCTTTCCCTGGCCCTTTATGGCCTTAGACGCTGTTTAGCCCCGCCCCTAAGGGCTCCCGCCACTGTGTGGCCACACCTCTTTTCCATATATGGAGGAGCGTAACCCCGCCCCTTCGATCGCCTATAGAAAGCTCTTGGCCCCGCCCCAAGGGCTCCCGACAGCGTCTAACCACGCCCCCTTTCCATATATGGAAGTGGCTAACCCCTCCTCTTTAGAACCTATAGATACAGGTTAGCCCCGCCCCTTCAGAGCACCCGCTATAGTGTGTCCACGCCTCCTTTCCATATATGGAACCTCTGAACCCCGCCCTTTAATAGTTTATTGAAGCCGTTTAGCCCCGCCCCTAAGGGCTCCTGCCGGTGTCTTACCACGCCCCTTTTCCATATATGGAAGTGGTCAACTCCGCCCTTTAATCGCCTATAGAAACAGCTTAGTCCCGCCCCTAAGGGCTCCCGCCATTGTTTAACCACGCCCCTTTTCCATATATGGAGAGATTAACCCCGCCCCTCGTCGCAGTTCGGCCCCGCCCCCAGCGCTCCCTCTCGCGTGTGATCACGCCCCTTTTCCATATATGGACGGTCCTAACCCCGCCCTTTTGTCGCAGCTTGGCCCCGCCCTCTCAGCGCTCCCGCCACTGCATGGCCCCGCCCTTTTGCCCATTTACGGCCGCGCTTGGCCCCGCCCCTTTCCCCCTCACAGACATTGTCTCCCAGCGCCGCTTTCCCCGCCCCTTTTCCCTTATACGGTCACGCACCGACCCCGCCCCTCTCTCCCAATTGGTCCGCTCCGGCCCCGCCCCCTCCCGCCGCGCTCCCGCCGGCGCGCGGCCCCGCTCGGGCCCCGCGCGGTGCAGTGTGGGAGGAAGCGGCGGCGCGCGGCCCCGCTCCATCATGGCGGCTCCGTGAGGCGCCCCCCGCCCGGCCGCCCCCCGGCCCCCCCGGCCCTCGACCCCCGCCCGGCCCCGGGGGGCGCCGCCCCCATGGACAGGAACTACCCGGCCGCCGGGTTCGGGGACCCGCTCAGCGCCGGGCCCGGCTGGAGCTACGAGCGCTCGGCCAAGGCCAGGTGAGCCCCGGGGGGAGCGAGCGGGAGGGGGGGGAGGAAGGGGGCGCGCACCGGGGGGAGGAGCGAGGATGGGGGGAATGGGGGGGATGGGGGGGTTTGGGGTGAGGGGGGGTTTGGGGTGCAGGGTCCCGTTACAGCGGGATTTGGGGTGCCAAGGGATTTGGGATGAGGGTGTCCCGTTACACCGGGATTTGGGGTGCAGAGGGATTTGGGGTGCAGGGTCCCGTTACAGCGGGATTTGGGGTGAGGGGGGGTTTGGAGTGAGAGGGTCCCGTTACACTGAGGTTTGGGGTGCTGGGATTTGGGGTGAGGGGGTCCGGTTACAGCGGGATTTGGGGTGAGGGGGTCCCGTTACAGCGGGATTGGGGGTGTGCTGGGATTTGGGGTGCAGGAGGTTTGGGATGCTGTGATCCCGTTACTCTGGGATTTGGGATGAGGGGGGATTTGGGGTGCAGGAGGTTTGGGGTGCTGTGATCCCGTTACACCGGGTTTGGGGTGCTGAGGGATTTGGGGGTGTCCCAGTAGTACTGGGGTCCTGTGATCCCCCTTACACTGGGATTTGGGGTGCTGGGATCCCGTTACTCGGGATTTGGGATGTGCTGGGATTTGGAGTGAAGGGGATTTGGGGTGTCCCCAGCAGTGTTGGGGTCCTGTTATCCCGTTACAGTGGGATTTGGGGTGAGGGGGTCCCGTTACAGCGGGATTTGGGGTGCAGGAGGTTGGGATGCTGTGATCCCGTTACAGCGGGATTTGGGGTGCAGGAGGTTTGGGATCTGGGGTACAAGGATCCCGTTACTCTGGGGTTTGGGGTGCTGGGATTTGGGGTGTCCCAGCAGTGTTGGGGTCCTGTTATCCCGTTACAGTGGGATTTGGGGTGAGGGGGTCCCGTTACAGCGGGTTTGGGGCGCTGGAGTATTGGGATGCTGTGATCCCGTTACAGCGGGCTTTGGGGTGCAGGAGGTTTGGGATGCTGTGATCCCGTTACTCCGGGATTTGGGGTGTGCTGGGATTTGGGGTGCAGAGGAATTTAGGGCGAAAGAGGTCCCATTACACTGGGATTTGGGGTGCAGGAGGTTTGGGGTGCTGGATCCCGTTACTCTGGGATTTGGGATGAGGGGGGATTTGGGGTGCAGGAGGTTTGGGGTGCTGGGATCCCGTTACTCTGGGATTTGGGATGAGGGGGGATTTGGGGTGCAGGAGGTTTGGGGTGCTGGGATCCCGTTACTCTGGGATTTGGGATGAGGGGGGATTTGGATGAAAGGGATTTGGGGTGAGGGGGTCCCATTACTCTGGGATTTGGGGTGTGCTGGGGTTTGGGGTGCTGAGTTATTTGGGATGTGGGGATCCTGTTTCCCTCGGAATTGGGCTGTGGGGGGATTTGGGGTGAGGGATCCCGTTACACCGGGGTTTGGGGTGCAGGAGGTTTGGGATGCTGTGATCCCATTATTCTGGGATTTGAAGTGCGCTGGGATTTGGGGTGAGGGGGTCCCGTTACTCTGGATTTGGGGTGTGCTGGGATTTGGGGTGTGCTGGGATTTGGGGTGAGGGGGTCCCGTTACTCTGGGATTTGGGGTGTGCTGGCATTTGGGGTGTCCAGCAGTATTGGAGTCCTGCAATGCCGTTACAGCAGGATTTGGGGTGAGGGTGTCCCATTATTTTGGGATTTGGGGTGTGCTGGGATTTGGGGTGTGCTTGGATTTGGGGTGTGCTGGGATTTGGGGTGAGGGGGTCCCGTTACTTGGGGATTTGGGGTGAGGGGGTCCCGTTATTCTGGGATTTGAGGTGCTGAGGGATTTGGGGTGTCCCAGCAGTTTTGGGGTCCTACAATGCTGTTACACCGGGATTTGGGGTGAGGGGGTCCCATTATTTTGGGATTTGGGGTGTGCTGGGATTTGGGGTGTGCTGGGATTTGGGGTCCTACAATGCTGTTACACCGGGATTTGGGGTGAGGGGGTCCCATTAAACTGGGATTTGGGGTGAGGGGGTCCTGTCACAGCGGGACTTGGGGTGGGGGTGATGGGATTTTGGGTGCAGGAGGTTTGGGATGCTGTGATCCCATTACACCGGAGTTTGGGGTGTGTGGGATTTGGGGTGCTGAGGAATTTGGGGTGAGGGGGTCCCGTTACACCGGGATTTGGGGTGAGGGGGGGTTTGGAGCAAGGGGATCCCGTTAGACCGGGATTTGGGGTGAGGGGTCCCATTATTCCAGGATTTGGGGTGAGGGGGTCCCATTACTCCGGGATTTGGGGTGAGAGGGTCCCATTATTCTGGGATTTGGGGTGAACAGGTCTTGTTACACCGGGGTTTGGGATGTGCTGAGATTTGGGGTGCTGAGAATTTGGGGTGAGAGGGTCCTGTTACTCTGGGATTTGGGATGAGGGTGTCCTGTTACTCTGGGGTTTGGGGTGTCCTGGAATTTGGGGTGAGGGGGTCCCGTTACTCTGGGATTTGGGATGCTGGGGGATTTAGGGTGCAGGGATTTGGGGTGCAGGGATCCTGTTACACTGGGATTTGGGGTGCAGGAGATTTGGGGTGTCCCTGGAGTGTTGGGGTCCTGCAATCTCGTTACACTGGGATTTGGGATGCTGGGATCCCGTTACACTGGGATTTGGGGTGCAAGGATCCCGTTACACTGGGATTTGGGGTGCTGAGGGATTTGGGGTGCTGGGATTTAGGGTACAGGGTCCTGTTACACCAGGATTTGGGATGCTGAGGGATTTGGGATGCTGGGGTTTGGGGTGTCCCTGGGGTACTGAGATGCTGAGATCCCCTTACGGGGTGAGGGGGTCCCGTTACACCAGGATTTGGGTGCAGGGATCCCATTACACCGGGATGTGGGATGCTGAGGGATTTGGGGTGCTGGGATTTAGGGTGCAGGGATCCCGTTACACTGGGATTTGCGGTGCTGGGATCCTGATACACCGGGATTTGGGATGCTGAGGGATTTGGGGTGTTGGGATTTGGGGGTGCAGGGATCCTGTCACTCTGGGATTTGGGGTGCAGGGATCCCATTCCCATTACACTAGGATTTGGGGTCCTGTGATCCCGTTACACCGGGATTGGGGTGTGCTGAGATTTGGGGTTTGCTGAGATTTGGGGTGTCCCTGGGGTACTGAGATGCTGAGGTCCCCTTATGGGATGAGGGAGTCCCGTTACACCTGGATTTGGGGTGACGGAAGTTTGGGGCTCAGGGATCCCATTACACTGGGATTTGGGATGCTGGGGGATTTGGGGTGCAGGGATTTGGGGTGCAGGGGTCCCGTTACACCAGGATTTGGGGTGCTGGGATCCCATTACACCGGGGTTTGGGGTGCTGAGGGATTTGGGGTGCTCCGGGATTTGTGGCACAGGATGATTTAGGGGTGCAACAGGATTTGGGGTGCTCCAGGATTTGGGGTGCTGGGATCTCGCTGTAGCAGGATTTGGGGTGCTCTGGGATTTGGGGTGTCACACCTGTGTGTCAATGCCTGGCTCACCTGTGTCACACGTGTCACACCTGAATGTGCCTGTGTCACACCTGAGTGTGCCTGTGTCACACCTGTGTCAGTGCCTGTGTCAAACCTGTGTCAGTGTCTGTGTCACACCTGTGTCAGTGCCTGTGTCACACCTGAGTGTGTGTCTGTGTCACACCTGTGTCAGTGTCTGTGTCACACCTGTGTGTGTCTGTCACACCTGTGTCAGTGCCTGTGTCACACCTGAGTGTGTGTCTGTGTCACACCTGTGTCAGTGTCTGTGTCACACCTGTGTCAGTGCCTGTGTCACACCTGAGTGTGTGTCTGTGTCACACCTGTGTCAGTGTCTGTGTCACACCTGTGTGTGTCTGTCACACCTGTGTCAGTGTCTGTGTCACACCTGTGTGTGTCTGTGTCACACCTGTGTCAGTGCCTGTGTCACACCTGTGTCAGTGCCTGTGTCACACCTGTGTCAGTGTCTGTGTCACACCTGTGTCAGTGCCTGTGTCACACCTGAGTGTCTGTGTCACACCTGTGTCAGTGTCTGTGTCACACCTGTGTGTGTCTGTGTCACACCTGTGTCAGTGTCTGTGTCACACCTGTGTGTGTCTGTCACACCTGTGTCAGTGTCTGTGTCACACCTGAGTGTGTCTGTGTCACACCTGTGTCAGTGTCTGTGTCACACCTGAGTGTGTCTGTGTCACACCTGTGTCAGTGCCTGTGTCACACCTGAGTGTGTCTGTGTCACACCTGTGTCAGTGTCTGTGTCACACCTGAGTGTGTCTGTGTCACACCTGAGTGTGTCTGTGTCACACCTGTGTCAGTGTCTGTGTCACACCTGTGTCAGTGTCTGTGTCACACCTGTGTCAGTGCCTGTGTCACACCTGAGTGTGTCTGTGTCACACCTGAGTGTGTCTGTGTCACACCTGTGTCAGTGCCTGTGTCACACCTGTGTCAGTGCCTGTGTCACACCTGAGTGTGTCTGTGTCACACCTGTGTCAGTGTCTGTGTCACACCTGTGTCAGTGCCTGTGTCACACCTGTGTGTGTGTCTGTGTCACACCTGTGTCAGTGTCTGTGTCACACCTGTGTCAGTGTCTGTGTCACACCTGTGTGTGTCTGTGTCACACCTGTGTGTGTGTCTGTGTCACACCTGTGTCAGTGCCTGTGTCACACCTGTGTCAGTGTCTGTGTCACACCTGTGTCAGTGCCTGTGTCACACCTGTGTCAGTGCCTGTGTCACACCTGAGTGTGTCTGTGTCACACCTGTGTCAGTGTCTGTGTCACACCTGTGTCAGTGTCTGTGTCACACCTGAGTCAGTGCCTGTGTCACACCTGAGTGTGTCTGTGTCACACCTGTGTCAGTGTCTGTGTCACACCTGTGTCAGTGTCTGTGTCACACCTGTGTGTGTGTCTGTGTCACACCTGTGTGTGTCTGTGTCACACCTGTGTCAGTGTCTGTGTCACACCTGAGTGTGTCAGTGTCACACCTGTGTCAGTGCCTGTGTCACACCTGAGTGTGCCTGTGTCACACCTGAGTGTGTCTGTGTCACACCTGTGTCAGTGTCTGTGTCACACCTGTGTGTGTCTGTCACACCTGTGTCAGTGTCTGTGTCACACCTGAGTGTGTCTGTGTCACACCTGTGTCAGTGTCTGTGTCACACCTGTGTCAGTGTCTGTGTCACACCTGAGTGTGTGTGTCTGTGTCACACCTGTGTCAGTGTCTGTGTCACACCTGAGTGTGTCTGTGTCACACCTGTGTCAGTGCCTGTGTCACACCTGAGTGTGTCTGTGTCACACCTGTGTCAGTGTCTGTGTCACACCTGAGTGTGTCTGTGTCACACCTGAGTGTGTCTGTGTCACACCTGAGTGTGTCTGTGTCACACCTGTGTCAGTGTCTGTGTCACACCTGTGTCAGTGTCTGTGTCACACCTGTGTCAGTGCCTGTGTCACACCTGAGTGTGTCTGTGTCACACCTGAGTGTGTCTGTGTCACACCTGTGTCAGTGCCTGTGTCACACCTGTGTGTGTGTCTGTGTCACACCTGAGTGTGTCTGTGTCACACCTGAGTGTGTGTCTGTGTCACACCTGAGTGTGCCTGTGTCACACCTGTGTGTGTCTGTGTCACACCTGTGTCAGTGTCTGTGTCACACCTGTGTGTGTGTCTGTGTCACACCTGTGTCAGTGTCTGCTGCACGTGTACGTGTGTCACACCTGTGCACAGGCCACACCTGGCTCACATCTGTGTCACACCTGTCACACCCATGGGGCTCACACCTGTGTCACACCTGTCACAGCATTGTGGGGCGGTGACAGTCACACCTGTCTGTCCGTCTGTCCGTCTGTCTGGTGTAGGGGTGGGTCTGTGATGGTGGGGGCTGTGACAATCCCGTGATGTGACACTCTCCTGTGTGTCTGTCTGTCTGTGTGTCTGTCTGTCTGTGTGGTGTATGGGGGTCTGTGATGGTGGGAGGTGACAATGCCGTGATGTGACGCTCTCCTGTCTGTCCGTCTGTCCAGCCTGGTGTACGGGGTGGGGGGGAATCTGTGACAATGCCATGATGTGACGCTCTCCTGTCTGTCCGTCTGTCTGTCTGTCCAGCCTGGCGTATGGGGGGGGTCTGTGATGGTGGGAGGTGACAATGCCGTGATGTGACACTCTCCTGTCTGTCTGTCTGTCTGTCTGTCTGTCTGGTGTATGGGGGGTCTGTGATGGTGGGGCTGTGACAATCCCATGATGTGACACTCTCCTGTGTCTGTCTGTCCGTCTGTCCGTGTGTCCAGCCTGGTGTACGGGGGGGGGGGAATCTGTGACAATCCCATGATGTGACACTCTCCTGTCTGTCTGTCTGTCTGTGTGGTGTACGGGAGGGGTCTGTGATGGTGGGGCTGTGACAATGCCATGATGTGACGCTCTCCTGTCTGTCCGTCTGTCCGTCTGTCCAGCCTGGTGTACGGGGTGGGTCTGTGACAGTGGGGGCTGTGACAATGCCCGTGATGTGACACTCTCCTGTCTGTCCGTCTGTCTGTCTCTCCAGCCTGGTGTACGGGGGCTCGCGGGGGTCCCACCCTGACCCTGACCTGCTGCACCGGCAGCCGTACGGAGCCCCCCACCCTCTGCAGGGCTATGCGGCCAACCACCACCCGCCAGGTACGGACACCCCGTGGCATTGATGGCACCTGGGGGCACCTGATGGCACCTGGGGGCACCTGATGGCATTTACTGGCATTTACTGTCACCTACTGTCACCTGCTGGCACCTGATGGCGCCTGATGGCACCTGCTGGCACCTGATGGCGCCTGGTGGCACCTGATGGCATTTACTGGCACCTGATGGCACCTGGTGGCATTTACTGGCACCTGGGGGCATTTACTGGCACCTGGGGGCATTTACTAGTACCTACTGTCACCTGATGGCACCTGGGGGCACCTGGTAGCATTTACTGGCACCTGATGGCACCTGGTGGCGCCTGCTGGCACCTGCCGTCATTTACTGGCACCTACTGCCACCTGATGGCGCCTCTGGCACCTACTGTCACCTGTTGGCACCTGCTGGCACCTGCTGGCGCCTGATGGCACCTGGTGACACCTGCTGTCATCTACTGTCACCTGCTCCCACCTGATGGTGCCTGATGGCACCTGGTGGCACCTGATGTCACTTACTGGCACCTGATGTCATTTACTGGCACCTACTGTCATTTACTGGCACTTGCTGGCACCTGCTGCCACCTTCTGTCACCTACTGTCACCTGCTGTCACCTCTGTCACCTATTGTCAGCTTCTGCCATCTGCTGGCACCTTCTGCCACCTACTGGCACCTGGTGTCACCTGCTGGCACCTGGTGGCACCTTCTGTCGTCTACTGTCACCTACTGGCACCTTCTGTCATCTACTCTCACCTACTGTCACCTGATGGCACCTGATGGCACCTACTGTCATTTACTGTCACCTGCTGCCATCTGATGGCACCTACTGGCACCTTCTGTCACCTTTTGTCACCCTTGTCACCTACTGTCACTTTCTGTCATCTACAGTCACCTACTGTCATCTTCTGTCACCTGCTGTCATCTACTGTCACCTACTGGCACCTTCTGTCACCTACTGTCAGCTTCTGTCACCTTCTGTCACCTATTGTCACCTCCTGTCACCTTCTGTCATCCCTGTCACCTCCTGTTACCTTTGTCACCTTCTGTGACCCACTGTCACCGATTGTCACCTGCTGTCATCTGCTGTCACCTCTGTCACCTGTCACCTTTATCACCGATTGTCACCTGTTGTCATCTGCTGTCACCTTCTGTCCCCCTACTGTCACCTTTATCACCTCCTGTCACTTCCTATTACGTTTTTTGCCACTTTGTTGTTTCATTTCCCACCCATTTTCCCTTCACATTTCCTATTCTTTACCCCTCATATTTCTCACTTTTTTCCCCCTCACATTTCCTGCCCTTTTTCCCTCGCATTTCCCACCCTTTTTCCCCCTCATTTCCCATTTTTTACCTCACGTTTTCTGCTCTTTTTCCCCTCACATTTCCCACGTTTTCTTCCCTCACATTTCCCACCGATTTTTCCCACGTACCCTTTTTTCCTCCCTCACATTTTTTGCTTTTTTCCAATCATTTCCTACTTTTTCCCCCCTCACATTTCCCACCCTTTATCCCCTCAGGTTTCTATCTCCTTCCCTACGCCATTTCATCCCATCAAGTTTTACACTTTTTTTTCCTCACATTTCTCACCTTTTTTCCCCCAACATTTCCCCACCGATTTTTCCCTTCACATTTCATGTTGTTTTATTGTCTCATTTCCCAACCATTTTCCCCTCACATTTCCCACTCTTTGCCCCTCACATTCCTTACTCTTTTCTCCCCTCACATTTCCCCCCTTTTCTCCCCTTGTTTCATACCTTTTTTTCCTCTCATTTCCTGTCCTTTTCACTCAGCTTTATTGTCCTTTTTGCCTTCCATTTGCTGCCTTTTCTCCCCTCACGTTTCCCCCCTTTTCTCCCCTCTTATTTCTCACTTTTCCCCTCACATTTTCTGCCCTTTTTCCTCTCACACTTCCTGCCTTTTCCCCTCACATTTCCTGGCTTTTTTTCCTCGTGTTTCCTCCTTTTTTCCCCTCACATTTCCCGCTCTTTCCTCCCCTCACGTTTCCCCTCATTTTCCCCTCATGTTTCCCTTTTCTCCCTCACATTTCCTGCCCTTTGTCCCCTCATGTTTCCCTCCCTTTTCTCCCTCACATTTCTCACTTTCCCCCTCACATTTTCAGCCCTTTTTCTTCTCATACTTTTTGCCTTTTCCCCTCACGTTTCCCCCCATTTTCCCCCTCATATTTCCCTCCCTTTTCCCCCCTCACATTTCTCACTTTTCCCCTCACATTTCCTGTCTTTTTTCCTTGTGTTTTCCTCCCTTTTCTCCCCTCACATTTCTCTCCCTTTTCCCCCCTCACATTTCCCTTTTCTCCCCTCACATTTCCCGCCTTTTTCCTCCCCTCACATTTCCCGCCATTTTTTCCCCTCACATTTCCTGTCTTGTTTCCTTGTGTTTTCCTCCCTTTTCCCCTCACATTTCCCTCCCTTTTCTCCCCTCACATTTCCCTCCCTTTTCTCCCCTCACATTTCCCACCATTTTTCCCCTCGCATTTCCCGCCATTTTCCCCCCCTCACATTTCCCGCCTTTTTTCCCCTCACATTTCCCGCCATTTTTTCCTCCTTTCCCCCCATTTTTCTCACATCCCATTTTCCATCCGCTCACCCCAAAACCTCCCATGTTTGTCACCCCACCCCTGTGTCCCTGTCACCCTTTGCTGCCATGTCACCCTGACCCTGTAAATGTCATGGCCGAGGTGTCCCCAAGGTGTCCCCAAGGTGTCCCCAGGGCTGCACCACTCAGGTCACCCCAAAGTGTCCCCTCAATCCCCCCCTGTCCTTGAGGGGGGGTCACAGCCACAGTGTCCCCCACATCCCCAGGGTGTCCCCAAGGTGTCCCTGAGCTGTCCCCAAGCTGTCCCTGTCCCCGGGGCTGTCGGGGCTCTACCCCAGTGTGTCCCAAGGTGTCCCCAAGGTGTCCCTGTCCTCAGGGCTGTTGGGGCTCTACCCCAGGGTGTCCCCAAGCTGTCCCCATGGTGTCCCCAGATCTGTCAGGGCTCTACCCCACAGTGTCCCCGAGCTGTCCCCAGGGCTGTCGGGGCTCTTCGAGATGGGGCTGCACCACTCAGGTCACCCCAAGCTGTCCCCATGGTGTCCCCACAGTGTCCCCGAGCTGTCCCCACAGTGTCCCCGTGCTGTCCCCAGGGCTGTCGGGGCTCTTTGAGACAGGGCTGCACCACTCGGGTCACCCCAGGCTGTCCCCAGAGTGCCCCCAAGGTGTCCCCATGGTGTCCCCGTGCTGTCCCCAGGGCTGTCGGGGCTCTTTGAGATGGGGCTGCACCACTCAGGTCACCCCAAGCTGTCCCCAGGGTGTCCCCGAGCTGTCCCCACACTGTCCCCGAGCTGTCCCCACAGTGTCCCCGAGCTGTCCCCGAGCTGTCCCCGTGCTGTCCCCAGGGCTGTCGGGGCTCTTTGAGATGGGGCTGCACCCCAGGGTGTCTCTGAGCTGTCCCCACAGTGTCCCCAAGCTGTCCCCATGCTGTCCCCGAGCTGTCCCCACACTGTCCCCATGGTGTCCCCAGGGCTGTCAGGGCTCTTTGAGACGGGGCTGCACCACTCGGGTCACCCCAAGCTGTCCCCAGAGTGTCCCCAAGGTGTCCCCGAGCTGTCCCCACAGTGTCCCCGAGCTGTCCCCAAGCTGTCCCCGTGCTGTCCCCAGGGCTGTCGGGACTCTTTGAGACGGGGCTGCTCCCCAGGCTGTCCCCACAGTGTCCCCGAGCTGTCCCCAAGCTGTCCCCGTGCTGTTCCCAGGGCTGTCGGGGCTCTTTGAGACGGGGCTGCACCCCAGGGTGTCCCCATGGTGTCCCCGAGCTGTCCCCGAGCTGTCCCCGTGCTGTCCCCAGGGCTGTCGGGGCTCTTTGAGACGGGGCTGCACCCCAGGGTGTCTCTGAGCTGTCCCCAAGCTGTCCCCGTGCTGTCCCCAGGGCTGTCAGGGCTCTTTGAGACGGGGCTGCTCCCCAGGGTGTCCCCAAGCTGTCCCCACAGTGTCCCCGAGCTGTCCCCAAGCTGTCCCCGTGCTGTCCCCAGGGCTGTCGGGGCTCTTTGAGACGGGGCTGCACCACTCAGGTCACCCCAAGCTGTCCCCATGGTGTCCCCACACTGTCCCCGAGCTGTCCCCACACTGTCCCCATGCTGTCCCCAGGGCTGTCGGGGCTCTTTGAGACAGGGCTGCACCACTCGGGTCACCCCAGGCTGTCCCCAGGGTGTCCCCAGGGTGTCTCTGAGCTGTCCCCAAGCTGTCCCCGTGCTGTCCCCAGGGCTGTCGGGGCTCTTTGAGACGGGGCTGCACCACGCTGGGGGCGCTGCCCCCGACGCCTCGGTCATGAACCTGATCTCAGCGCTGGAGTCACGGGGACCCCAGCCCGGACCCTCGGCCTCCTCCCTGCTCTCCCAGTTCCGCACGCCCTCCTGGCAGACTGGTGGGTCTGGGGGCTTTCACTGGGGGGTTTGGGGTGGGGGTCCCAGTTCCGCACGCCCTCCTGGCAGACTGGTGGGTCTGGGGGCTTTCATTGGGGTGGGGGTCCCAGTTCTGCACCCCCTTCTGGCAGACTGGTGGGTCTGGGGGCTTTTATTGGGGTGGGGGTCCCAGTTCTGCATCCCCTCCTGGCAGACTGGTGGGTCTGGGGGCTTTCATTGGGGGGTTTGGGGATGGGGTCCCAGTTCTGCACCCCCTCCTGGCAGACTGGTGGGTCTGGGGGCTTTTTTGGGGGGGGGTCTTTGTGCTGCTTTGGTTTTGGGGGAGGTTTTTTATTTAATTTCTCATGGGGAGGGGGGAGTCCTATTTTTGTCTTGTTGTTCTGCATTTGGGGGGTCCCCATTTACCCCTATTGGGGTCCCCACTTCTACCAGGGGTGTCCCCACTCCCCCTGGGGGTGTCCCCACCCACCCAAATGGGGTCCCCAAATGTACCTGGATGTCCCCCACCCACTCAAATGGGGTTCCCCCCCTCCCCAAACAGGGTCCCCAGATGTACCTGGGTGTCCCCCACCCACCCAAATCGGGTCCCCACATGTCCCAGGGGTGTCCCCACTCCCCCTGGGGCTGTCACCTCCTGCCCAAATGGGGTCCCCACGTGTACCTGGGTGCCCCCCACCCAAACGGGCTCCCCACTCACCTTGAGGGTGTCCCCCCCTCCCCAAATGGGGTCCCCGCATGTCCCAGGGTGCCCCCCACCCTCCCAAATGGGGTCCCCCCCCTCCCCAAATTGTGTCCCCACACATCCCAGTGCCTCCCCCAACCCTTTCCCCCCTCTCTCTCTCTCCCCCGCCTCTCTCTAACCCCGATCCTGCCCCTCCCCAGCCATGCACACTCCGGCTCCAGCCGAACTCTTCATCTCTGGAGCCCTCCCCGGCTCGGGCACCTTCCCCTCCTCATCGGCGCTGGGTCCCTACCAGCACCCGGCGTCCTTCGGCGGCCGCAGCTTCCCGGTGGGGTCCCCGCTGAGCCTTCCCGAGGCCGCCTTCAGCCCCGGTTCCAACGGGCTGCTGTCCCCGCACGACCCCCTGCTGCACATCAAGCCCACGCAGCCCGCCGTGCCCTCCTCGCTGGGCTTCGACCGCCTGGGCTCGGCCGTGCTGGGCTCGGCGCTGCCCGCGCAGACCCCTCCGTACCGGCCCGCTCCCAGTTCCTCCCAGTTCAACCTGCTGGCGGCGGCCGAGCAGCCCCCTCAGCTCTACAACGCTCCCGTCTTCGGCGGCGCCAACGCGGCGGGCGGCGGCGATCGCGCCATATCGCGACAGGACAGCGTCATCAAGCACTACCAGCGGCCGGGCGCGGCTCAGCCGCAGCTGCCGCCGGCGCCGGGGCTGCAGCATTACCTGAGCTGCGGCGGCTCCTACCAGCAGGTGCCGGCTCACCGCGCCCCGCTGTCCTGCAGCCCGCTGGGCGAGCAGTCCCCGGCCAGCTCCGAGGGCTCGGGGCAGCCTCCCAAAGCCGCTCCCGCGGCGCCGCGCCCCGAGCCGGGATACCGGCCCATCATCCAGTCCCCGGGCTACTCCGGCGGCGCCAGCGCCGCGGGCAACGGCGGCGCGGCCGGCGGCAACGGCGGCAAATCCAAGAGTTACTCGGCGTCGCGGCAGCCGCCGCGCTCCACCAACACGCCCAAGTGCCAGAGCAGCTACACGCCCAGCACGCCCAAGCCCAGCTCGGTGATCGCCAGCCAGTCGCCGGCCTACTCGCCGGGCCAGCCGCCCCAGAGCCTGCTGGCCATGGGGGCAGGCCCCGGCTACAGCGGCCCCGGCGCGCCCCAGAGCCTGGCGGGGACGGCGCAGCCCGCGGGGGGATTCGGCGCGGGCCAGGCCGCGGACATGGCCGGCAAAGGCGGCGGGTACCAGGCCGGGGGGCAAGGCGGGCAGCAAGGGGGGCTGCAGCCCTGCGTGAGCGCCGCGGGCGCCTACTCGCCCGAGCAGCTGCAGGCGCTGCCCTACGGCGTCCAGCCCGAGGGGGCGCAGGCGGGGGGCTACGGGCCGCCCGCCCCCTCGCAGGGTTTGCCCACCGCCAGCCCCTCGCTGAGCTACAGCACCACCGGGCACTCGCCCGCCATGCCCGGGCCGCCGCCGCTGCCCTACGCCGGCCTGGGCGGCTCCAGCCCCTCGCCCATCATCCGCCCGCTGCAGTCGCCGCCGGCGGCGCGGCCGCAGAGCGGAGCCTCGCCGGGACAGTCGCAGAAATACCTGGGCTCGGTGCTGTCGCCGTCGTTCATGGCCCCGCAGGGCTACGGGGCCGCTCCGGGCGGGGGCCTCGAGAGGCAGCAGCCGCCGGCCCCACCGGGAGCGCCCCCCAGTTTCGGCAAAGGGGCCAAAGGCGAGGCGGAGCTGCTGGCGGCGGAGCGCAGCGAGGACGAGGATTTCCTGATCCAGCACCTGCTGCAGGCGCCCAGCCCGCCCCGAGAGGGGCTGGGGGGCTGCGAGGAGCGCCCCAAAACCTTGGGGGGCTACGGGGGGGCGCTGGGCAAGGAGGAGCGGTACCAGCTGCAGAGCGTGATCCGGCCCAACTCCAACCTGGAGGCGCCGCTGGAGCTGGCGCTGCTCAAGGAGAAGAAGAAGCCGGAGAGAGGCAAAGAATTCCGGGGCGCCAGCGGAGCGGCAGGAGGAGGAGGAGGAGGCGGCGGCGAGGTGGCGGCCACCTCGGTGGTGCACTACGGCCACCAAGCGCCGCCCGCCATGGACACGTACGAGCTGAAGAAGCCGCCCGAGCACCTGGCCGGGGGCAAGGAGCTGGGCCAGCCGCCGCCTCCGCACTCGTACCTGCCCAAAACGCCCGAGCACGGGCGGCTGGTGGGCGAGGGGCCCCCGCTGGAGCCCCACAACCTCCTGCTGGACCCTTCCCCGGAGCTGGGCGCGTCTCTGCTGCCCTCGGTGCTCACGCACACGCAGAGCCAGCTGCACCCGCGGCCCAAGGGCCGAGCGCCGCTGGACGTTCACCTGCTGGAGCAGCAGCGGATGCCGCCCCCTCCGCCGCCCCCTCCGCCGCCCCCCGCTGCCCCCTCGGCGCCCCCGGCCCCTCCGGCCGCCCCTTCCCCGCAGCTGCTGCTCGAAGCTCACCTGCACCAGGTGCGCTCGCAAGGCCTGGACCCGCAGGCCCCGCCGCCGCTGCCCCCCGACTCCATGGAGGTGTTGCCCCCTCCCCAGGAAATCCAGGACTTCTTGGAGCCCCCCCTGGGCTTGGAGCCGCACCTGGGGCAGAGCGCGGGGGTGCAGGGACCCCCCGGGCACCTGCTGGACCCCGAGGGGGGGGTCCCGGCCGTGCCCCCCGAGGCCAAGGATCAATTTTCGGAAGGGGGGAGCCCCGCCGGGGGCAAGGGCCGGTTCGTGCCCCTCACGTCCATCTGCTTCCCGGACGCTCTGCTGCAGGACGAGGACCGCGGCTTCTTCCCCGGCATGGAGGACATGTTCGGACCCCCGCCCGAGGATTTCCCCAAGCCCAGCGAGGAGGAGGAGGAGGAAGGCAGCGCCAACGCGGCCGGGCTGGAAGCGGCGCGGCCCGAGGGGATGAAAGCGCCCCCTCCTTACGACATGGGGCAGAGCTACCCCTCGTTCTGCTCGCAGGACGGGGGCGCCGCCGGGGAGCCCCCCCAGCTGGGGCTGGAGCCCCCCAAGCACGAGTTGCCCTCGACGGTGAACGCGGAGCCGCTGGGCTTGATCCAGAGCACGGGCGACGGGGGTCCCAAACCCCCGCCTCCTCCCCTGAGCACCCCTTTATTCTGCTCCTCCAAACCCAAAAAGCTGCTGAAAACTTCCTCCTTCCACCTGCTCCGCAAGCGGGACCCCTTCCCGCCGCCAAAAAAAACCTACGCGCAGGAGTACGAGTTCGAGGATGATGAGGATAAAGCCGACGTGCCCGCCGACATCCGCCTGAACTCGCGGCGCCTCCCGGACCTGCTGCCCGACCTCATCTCCAGCTGCCGCCGCCCTCCGCTCACCCCCATGGGCGACATCGATTTCTGCCCCCACCCCGGCGCTCACGCCGCCCCCAAGAAGCGAGGCCGCAAACCCACCAAGCCCAAGCGGGAAGGGCCGCCCCGGCCCCGGGGCAGGCCCAGGATCCGGCCCCTGGAGCCGCCCGGGTTCCCCGAGGGAGCCAAGAGGCCGCGGGGAAGGGGCCGAGGACGGGGCAAGAAGGGCGGAGAGGACGGAGAGGGGATGGAGCCGCTGCGGCCGCTCAAGGTGAGGGGTTGGAGTGCTCGGAATGGTCCCAAAATTGGGGTATGGGGTGCTCGGAATGGTCCTGAAATGACCCACAATTATGGGGTTTGGGGTGCTCGGAATGGTCCCAAAATTGGGGTTTGGGGTGTTCGGAATGGGCTGAAAATGGCACAAAATTGGGGTTTGGGGTGCTCGGAAAGGGCTGAAAATGACCCAGGATTGGGGGGTTTGGGTGCTCGGAATGGGCTGGAAATGACCCAAAATTGGGGGGTTTTGGGGTGCTCTGAGTGGTCCTGAAATGACCCAAAATGGGGGGTTTGGGGTGCTCTGAATGGGCTGAAAATGACCCAAAATTGGGGGGTTTGGGGTGCTCGGAATGGTCCCAAAATTGGGATTTTAGGGGGTTTGAGGTGCTCGGAATGGTCCTGAAATGCCCCAAAATTGGGGTTTTGGAGGGTTTGGGGTGCTTGGAATGGTCCCAAATTGACCCAAAATTGGGGTTTTGGGGTTTGGGGTGCTCGGAATGGTCCCGAAATGCCCCAAAATTTGGGTTCCACCCCCAGATCAACCTGGCTGGGTCTGTGCGGGGGTCAGTGGGTCCCAGTACAAACCAGTACAAACCAGTATAAACCAGTGACCCCCCCTAGATCAAACTGGGGGTGTCTGTGGATGGATTGGTGTCTCCCAGTACAAACCAGTATAACCAGTATCCCCCTTTTCTCTCCCCACAGATCAAACTGGGGCTGTCTGAGGGGGTTAGGATCGGATCAGGGGTTTTCCCAGTACAAACCAGTACAAACCAGTATAACCAGTACCCCATTTCTCTCCCCACAGATCAAACTGGGGGTGTCTGGGGGTGATGATGGTTGGATCAGGGGTTCTCCCAGTACAAACCAGTACAAACCAGTACAAACCAGTATAACCAGTATCCCTTTTCTCTCCCCACAGATCAAACTGGGGGTGTCTGAGGGGGTTAGGATCGGATCAGGGGTTCTCCCGGTACAAACCAGTACAAACCAGTACAAACCAGTATAACCAGTATAACCAGTACCCCCTATTTCTCTCCCCACAGATCAAACTGGGGGGTGTCTGGGGGTGATCAGGCATTGATCAATGTGTCTCCCAGTACAAACCAGTATAACCAGTATCCCCCATTTCTCTCCCCACAGATCAAACTGGGGCTGTCTGGGGGTGATCAGGGGTTGATCAATGTGTCTCCCAGTATAACCAGTATAACCAGTATCCCCCTTCTCTCTCCCCACAGATCAAACTGGCGGGTGTCTGGGGGTGATGATGGTTGGATCAGGGGTTCTCCCAGTACAAACCAGTATAACCAGTATCCCCCATTTCTCTCCCCACAGATCAAACTGGGGCTGTCTGGGGGGGGATCAGGCACTGATCAATGTGTCTCCCAGTACAAACCAGTATAACCAGTATCCCTTTCTCTCCCCACAGATCAAACTGGGGCTGTCTGAGGGTGCTGATGGTTGGATCAGGGGTTCTCCCAGTACAAACCAGTACAAACCAGTATCCCATTTCTCTCCCCCCAGATCAAACTGGGGTGCCTGGGGGTGATTGATGGTTGGATCAGGGGTTCTCCCAGTACAAACCAGTATAACCAGTATCCCCCATTTCTCTCCCCACAGATCAAACTCGGGTGTCTGGGGGTGATCAGGGGTTGATCAATGTGTCTCCCCAGTATAACCAGTATAACCAGTACCCCCATTTCTCTCCCCACAGATCAAACTGGGGCTGTCTGTGGGGGATCAGGCATTGATCAATGTGTCTCCCAGTATAACCAGTATAACCAGTATCCCCCATTTCTCTCCCCACAGATCAAACTGGGGCTGTCTGGGGGGGTTAGGGAGTGATCAATGTGTCTCCCAGTACAAACCAGTATAACCAGTATCCCTTTTCTCTCCCCACAGATCAAACTGGCCGTCTCCAAACCCGAGCCCGCCCCTCCCCCTCCGCCCCCCGGCGCCCCCCCCCCGTTCCCGGGGGTCCCCGAGGCGCCCCCCGGAGCCCCCCCAGAGCCGCATGAAGCAGAAGCTGCGCGAGGTAGAGGAGAAGCAGCCCGAGATGAAGTCGGGCTTCATGGCCTCCTTCCTGGACTTCCTCAAGTCCGGGAAGCGCCAGCCCCTGCCCCCCAGCCCTTCCAAGCCCCCCAAAGTGGGGACCCCCCAGAATTTCCCTCTGGGGGGGTCCCTGGAGGCGGGGGAGGCGGCGGGCGAGGGGCTGGGTGATGGCCGGGTGCCCCTCGCCCTGCAAGCGCGCTGTGGACGAGGAGCTCAAGAGGAACCTGGAGACGCTGCCCTCGTTCTCCAGCGACGAGGATGGACTCGGTCAGCAAGAACCAGGACCTGCAGAAGAGCATCAGGCTCGGCCATCTCGGCCCTGGACGAGCCCCGCCCGAGCGCAGGGAACCCCCTGAGGCACCAGGTGAGACCCTGCCAGGACCTGGGGCTGGGGCATAGAGAGCATAGGGAGCTGCCAGGACCTGCCAGGGGCTCATAGAGAGCATCCAGGGGCTCATAGAGAGCACAGGGAGCTGCCAGGACCTGCAGCAGAGCATCAGCTCAGCCATGAATGAGCCCCCCGAGCGCAGGGGAACCCCCTGAGGCACCAGGTGAAAGGGGGTACCCACCTGCCAGGACCTGGGGATGGGGCATAGAGAGCACCCAGGGGCTCATAGAGAGCATAGGGAGCTGCCAGGACCTGCCAGGGGTTCATAGGGAGCTGCCGAGGACCTGCAGAAGAGCATCAGCTCGGCGCACTCTCGGCCCTGATGAACCCCCCCGAGCGCAGGGAACCCCCTGAAACGCCAGGTGAGAGAGATACTGACCTGCCAGGACCTGGGGATGGGGCATAGAGAGCACCCAGGGGCTCATAGAGAGCACAGGGAGCCTGCCAGGACCTGCAGCAGAGCCTCAGCTCTGCCATGAATGAGCCCCCCCCGAGCACAGGGAACCCCCTGAGGCACCAGGTGAGACCTGCCAGGACCCTTAGAGAGCATCCAGGACCTTCCAGGACTTCATAGAAACATTCCAGGACCATCCAGGGATTCATAGGAACCTTCCAGGACCTGGGGCTGGGTCATAGAGAGCACCCAGGGGTTCATAGAGAGCATAGGGAGCTGCCAGGACCTGCAGCAGAGCATCAGCTCCATCATGAATGAGCCCCCCCGAGCGCAGGGAACCCCCTGAAACGCAAGGTGAGAGAGATACGGAGCTGCCAGGACCCTTAGAGAGCAGCCAGGACCATCCAGGAGTTCATAGAAACCTTCCAGGACCTTCCAGGAATTCATAGGAACCTTCCAGGACCCATAGAGATCTTCCAGGGGTTCATAGAGACCTTCCAGGACCATCCAGGTGTTCATAGGAACCTTCCAGGGGTTCATAGGGACCTTCCAGGACCTTCCAAGGGTTCATAGGAACCTTCCAGGACCCTAGAGACCTTCCAGGGGTTCATGGGGTCCTGCCAGGGTTTCATGGTGACCTTCCAGGACCTGCCAGGGATTCAAAAGGACCTTCCAGGGCTTTATGAGGATGTTCCAGGGCTTTCCAGGACCTGCTGGAGTACCCATGACCCTTCCAGGACCTGCCAGGGGTCTCCATGACCCATCCAGGGTTTCATGGTGACCTTCCAGGACCTGCCATGGGTTCATAGGAACCTTCCAGGAGTACATAGGGATCTTCCAGGACCTGCCAGGGGTTCATGAGGACATTCCAGGGGTTCTCAGGACCCTTCTAGGACCCTCGCCAGGACCTGCCAGGGCTCTCCATGACCCTTCCAGGACCTGCCAGGGCTCTCCATGACCCTTCCAGGACCAGCCAGGGGTTCAAAGGGACATCCAAGGGTGTATGAGGATGTTCCAAGGACCCTTCTAGGACCCTTCCAGGACCTGCTGGAGTACCCATGACCCTTCCAGAACTTGCTATGACCCTTCCAGGACCCCCCTAACTCTGTTTCTCTCTTTTATTTCTCTTTTCCAGGCCGCCCCCCCCCCCGGAGGATCCGCCCCCCTTCCCCTCCCCCCGCCCCTCCCGAGCCCCCCCAGCCCGAGGCCGCGCCCCCGCTCCCCCCCCCCGCCCCGGGCACCCCCCCCGGCCGCTCCCGGGGCCGCTCCCGTTCCCGGGGGGTCCCCGAGCCCCCCGGGGGGGTCCCCGGAGCCGCCCGAGCCCCCCGAGCGCCCCCTGCACCTGGCCCAGAAGCAGGGAACGGCCCGCCGTGTGCGGGGACACCAGCGACGAGGAGGAGAGCGGGGAGAGGGAATCTTCAGGGAGAGGGACGAGTTCGTGGTCAGGGTGGAGGACATCCCTGCCCTCAAGGTGAGACTGGGAGGGACTGGGAGGGACTGGGAGGGGGCTGGGATGGACCTGGGATAGACTGGGAGGGACTGGGAGGGACTGGGGACACCAGCGCCGAGGAGGAGAGCGGCGGAGAGGGAATCTTCAGGGAGAGGACGAGTTCGTGGTGAGGGTGGAGGACATCCCTGCCCTCAAGGTGAGACTGGGACTCACTGGGAGGCACTGGGAGGGACTGGGAGGGACTGGGATGGACTAGGAGGGGACTGAGAGTCAGGACATGGCACTGGGAAAGGAATTGGGATGGACTGGGATAAACTGGGAGGGACTGGGAGGGACTGGGGACACCAGCGACGAGGAGGAGAGCGGCGCGGGAGGGAATCTTCAGGGAGAGGGACGAGTTCGTGGTCAGGGTGGAGGACATCCCGTGCCCTCAAGGTGAGACTGGGAGGGACTGGGATAGACTGGGATAGACTGGGATAGACTGGGAGGGACTGAGAGTCAGGACATGGCACTGGGAAAGGAATTGGGATGGACTGGGATAAACTGGGAGGGACTGGGAGGGACTGGGGACACCAGCGACCGAGGAGGAGAGCGGCGGAGAGGGAATCTTCAGGGAGAGGGACGAGTTCGTGGTCAGGGTGGAGGACATCCCTGCCCTCAAGGTGAGACTGGGGACGGACTGGGAGGGACTGGGAGGGACTGGGATAGACTGGGATGGACTGGGAGGAGACTGGGATAAACTGGGAGGGACTGGGAGGCAAAGCGAGGGGAGTGGGAGTAAGGACATGGCACTGGGAAAAGGGACTGGGAGGCACTGGAGAGACTTTGAGGGCAGTGAGATGGACTGGGAGGGACTGGGATAAACTGGGATGGAGTGGACAGCACTGGATGGACTGGAGGGACTGGGATAAACTGGGAGGGACTGGGAGGCAAAGCAAGGGGAGTGGGAGTAAGGACATGGCACTAAGGAAAGGCACTGAGAGGCACTGGGAGAGACTTTGAGGACACTGGGAGGGACTGGGATGGACTGGGAGTGAATTGGGATAAATTGGGATGGACTGGGATAAACTGGGAGGGACTGGGAGGAGAACAAAGGGGAGTGAGAGGCACTGGGAGTGAGGACATGGCACTGGGAAAGGAACTGAGAGGCACTGGGAGAGACTTTGAGGACACTGGGAGGACACTGGGATGGACTGGAAGGGACTGGGATGGACTGGGAGGGACTGGGAGAGACTTTGAGGACACTGGATGGACTGGGATAAACTGGGAGGGAAGTGGGAGGGGACTGGGAGAGACTCCACTCACAGAACTGGGATTGAACTGGTGTTAACTGGTGATTAACTGGGGAATTTGGGGGGTCTGGAGGAGGATTTGGGGCAGAATTTGGGTTTTGGGGGGGTTCCTGTGACTCTGGATGGATCTGAATGGGTCTGAAGGATTAGGATGGATTTAGGGTGGGTTTAGGTGAATTTTTGGGGTTCTGACGCCCCAAATCTCCCCGTTGGCGCTGCAGACGGGGCGGGAGCCGCCGCTTTTGGGGGGGATTTTGGGGGGATTTTGGGGGATTTTTGGGGGATTTTTGGGGTCCCTGTGACCCTGAATGGCTCTGAATGGGTCTGAGTGGATTTAGGATGATTTGGGGTGGATTTAGGGTGGGTTTAGGGTGGGTTTAGGATGGATTTTTGGGGTTCTGACCCCCCAATGTCCCCAGCTGGCACTGGAGATGGGCCGGGAGCCGCTGCTTTTGAGGGATTTTGGGGGGGATTTTTGGGAGGGATTTTTGGGAGGGATTTTTGGGGATTTTTGGCATTCCTGTGACCCTGGATGGCTCTGGATGGATTTGGGATGGATTTGGGGTGGGTTTTTGGGGTTCTGACCCCCCAAATCTCCCCCAGCTGGCGCTGCAGACGGGCGGGAGCCGCCGCCCATCTGGAGGGTGCAGAAGGCGCTGCTGCAGAAATTCACCCCCGAGATCAAGGACGGGCAGCGCCAGTTCTGCGCCACCAGCAACGTGAGTGGCACCCCAAAAACACCCGGGGGCACCCCAAAAACACCCGGGGGGCACCCCAAAAACACCCGGGGATACCCCAAAAATACCGGAGACACCCCCAAAAAAACCGCCAAACCTGTGGGGACAACCCTGAGCTGGAAAAACCCCACCCCGAACCCAGGGTGTGTCACTAAAATTTGAGTTTTTCCCCTAAAAAAACATCAAAATTTCCCTAAAAATGGGGGGATTTGGGAGCTATCTCAGAATTTTGGGGCACCCTAAAAATTGGGGGACCCCAAAAAATGCAGGGGACACCCCAAAAAAAACCCCAAACCTGTGGGGACAACCCTGAGCTGAAAAACCCCACCCTGAACCCAGGGTGTGTCACTAAAATTTGAGATTTTCCCCTAAAAAACATCAAAATTTCCCTAAAAATGGGGGATTTGGGAGCTTTCTCTGAATTTGGGGCACCCCAAAAACTGTGGGAACCCCAAAAGAAACCCCAAAAACTGGGGGGGACAACCCTGAGTTTGGAGATCCCACCCCAAACCCAGGGTGTGTCATTTTGGGGGTATTTTTGTGTATTTTGGGGTGGATTTTTGGGGTATTTTTGTGTATTTTGGGTTAATTTTGGGGGGATTTTTGGGGGGATGGGGATTTTTGGGGGGATTTTGGGGTGGATTTTTGGGGTATTTTTGTGTATTTTGGGGTGGATTTTGGGGGGATTTTTAGGGATTTTGAGGTGTTTTGGAGGGGATTTTGGGGTGCAGAAGTTTTGGGGTGCCCCTGACCCCCCATTTTTACCCCTCCCCCCGCAGTTCCTGGGGGGTACCTGGGATGGTTTGGGGTGGATTTTTGGGGTAATTTTGGGGTATTTTTGTGTATTTTGGGTTAATTTTGGGGTGTCCTTTGGGGGATTTTGGGGTATCCCTGACCCCCCATTTCTGCCTCTCCCCCCACAGTACCTGGGGGTACCTGGGATGGTTTGGGGGGGATTTTTGGGGGATTTTTGCATATTTTGGGTTAATTTTTGGGGATTTTTGTGTATTTTGGGGGATTTTGGGGTCATTTTTGGGGTATTTTGGGGTGCAGAGGTTTTGGGGTGCCCCTGACCCCCCATTTTTACCCCTCCCCCTGCAGTACCTGGGGGATACCTGGGATGATTTGGGGTGGATTTTTGGGGGGATTTTTGTGTATTTTGAGTTAATTTTGGGGTAATTTTGGGGTAATTTTTTTTTTATTTTTGGGTATTTTGGGGTGCAGAGGTTTTGGGGGTGCCCCTGACCCCCCATTTCTGCCCCTCCCCCCGCAGTACCTGGGCTATTTTGGGGATGCCAAGCACAGGTACCAGCGGCTCTACGTGAAGTTCCTGGAGAACGTCAACAAGAAAGATTACGTGAGAGTGTGCTCCAGGAAACCCTGGCACCGGCCCCTGGCACTCAGGTACACCTGGGGACACACCTGGGGACATGGGGACACACCTGGGGACACACCTGGGCACACCTGGGGGTACTTGGGGACACCTGGGCACACCTGTGGGCACACCTGGACTCACCTGGACACACCTGGGGACACTTGTGGAGGCCTGTGGGCACACCTGGGCACATCATTGGGTACTTGGGCACACCTGGGCACACCTGGGGACACCTGGGCACACCTGTGGGCACACCCAAGGGACACCTGGGAGCATTTGGGGACACCTGAGACACTTGGGGTTCACCTGGGCACACTTGAGGACATACCTGGGCACACCTGTGGGCACCTGGGGACACTTTGAGGCACCTGTGGGCACACCTGGGCACACCTGAGGGTACTTGGGTACACACCTGGGGGCACCTGGGCACACCTGGGAGTACCTGGGGACACCTGGGGCACACCTGTGGACACACCTGGGGACACCTGTGGGTACTTGGGGACACCTGGGGACACCTGTGGGTACCTGGGCACACCTGTGGGCACACCTGGCCACACCTGGGAGGTACCTGGGGACACCTGGGGACACCTGTGGGCAGACCTGGGCACACCTGGGAGGTACCTGGGGACACCTGAAGGCACACCTGTGGGTACTTGGGGACACCTGGGGACACCTGTGGGCACACCTGGCCACACCCCCCTCTAACCCCTCCCCCTTTTTTCCCCCTCCCCCAGGAGACAAACCCACCCCAAACCCAGCGCCCCCAAACCCCCTCCCCCCCCCAAACCCGAGCCTGCGGAAAAACCCCAAAAATCGGAAAAAAACCCAAAAACCGAAAAACCCCAAAAAGCCGAGAAACCCCCCCGGAACGAGGCCGCCCCTCCCCCCCCCGCGCCGGGCCGCGGGGCCCCCCCCGGGCCCCCCCCGGCCCCCCCAAGGCCAAACCGAAGCCCCCCAAGGTGAAGGCGGAGCCCCCCCCCAAAAAGAGGAAAAAATGGCTCAAGGAGGCGGCGACGACGTCGGAGTCGGAATCCAGCGGGGACCCCCAGAGCGAGGAGGGTGAGAACGGGGGGACCCCGAAATTTGGGAGGGGGGGAACCAAAAATTTGGGGGGGGGGGCCGAAAATTGGGGGAGAAAAACCCCAATATTTAAGAGGGGGGAACCCAGAAATTTGGGGGGGGAACCCGAAATTTAAGAGGGGGAACCCGAAATTTGTGGGGTGAACCCCAAATTTTGGGGGGAGGAGACCCAGAAATTTGGGGGGGGGGAACTCAAAATTTTGGGGCGGGAACCCGAAATTGGGGGGAAACCCCGAAATTTGGGGGGAGGGGATGCTGAAATTTGGGGGGAGAACCCCGAAATTTGGAGCGAGAGAACCCGAAATTTAGGGGGGGGAACCCGAAATTTGGATGGGGGGGAGCCCAGAATTGGGGGGGAGCCCAAGTTTGGGGAGGGGGGACCCCAAGATTTGAGGGGGGGGCGAATCTGAAAGTTTGAGACCCCGGATTTGGGGAGGGGAACCCCAAACTGGGGAAGGAGGACGTGAATTTGGGGAGGGGGGGGATCCTAAATTGGGGAGGGTAACACGAATTTGGGAGGGGGACCCCAAATTTTTTGGGGAGGGGGAACCCCAAGTTTGAGGACGGGGAACCTCGAACTGGGGAGGGGGGAATCCCAGATTTGGGGAGAGAACTCAGAAATTTGGGAAGGGAACCTCGGGATTGAGGAGGGGGGACCCCAAGATTTGACGAGGAAACCCCAAAATTTGGGGAGAGAACCCAGAAATTTGGTGGGCTGGAGGGGAACCCTGAAATTCAGGGAGAGGACCCCAAAATTTGGAGCCAGGACCCCGAATTTGGGGGGGACCCCAAAATTTGGGGAGGGAACCCCGAAATTTGGGGAGGGTTGGGAAAGAAATTCCAAAATTTGGGGAGGGCACCTGCTCTGCCTTAAATGGGCGTGGTTCCCTTAAAGGGGTGTGGCTCTCAAGGAGGCGTGGCTCTCCTTTAAAGGGGCGTGGCTCTCCCTTAAAGGGCCGATGCGCCTTTATAATGGGGATGAGTCTCCAAATTGTGGGCGGGGTTTTCCCCCTTTTTGGGAGGTGGGCGTGTCCCTGTGCCCCTCCCCTTAAAGGGCCAGCACTCCTTTAGAACAGGGGTGTGTTTCCAAATTGTGGGCGGGGTTTTTTCTTTTTTGGGAAGTGGGTGTGTCTTCCCTTAAAGGGCCAGCGCTCCTTTATAACAGGGGCGTGTCTTCAACTTGTGGGCGGGGTTTTTTCCTCTTTTTGGGGGGTGGGCATGTCCTTGTGCCCCTCCCCTTAAAGGGCCAGTGCTCCTTTATAACAGGGGTGTGTCTCTGAGTGGTGGGCGGGGTTTTCCCCATTTTTGGGAGGTGGGCGTGTCTTCCCTTAAAGGGCCAGCTCTCCTTTATAACGGGGGTGTATCTCCAAGTTGTGGGCGGGGATTTCTTCTCCTTTCCGAGGGGTGGGCGTGTCCCCGTGCCCCTCCTCTTAAAGGGCCAGCTCTCCTCTAGAACAGGGGTGTGTCTTTGAGTTGTGGGCGGGGTTTTTCCCCCTTTTTGGGAGGTGGGCGTGTCCCCGCGCCCCTCCCCTTAAAGGGGCCGTGTCCCGCAGAGCGGGCCCCGCCGGGGCGGGTGCTGAACACGCGGGCCATGAAGGAAATGTACCGGAGCTACGTGGAGATGTTGGTCAGCACCGCCCTGGACCCCGACATGATCCAGGCCCTGGAGGACACCAACGGTGAGCCCCGCCCCTCCCCCCCTCCCGGGGACCCCCCAAAAGCTGCCCCTGACCCCCCCCGTGCCCCCCCAGATGAGCTGTACCTGCCCCCCATGCGCAAGATCGACGGCATCCTCAACGACCACAAGAAGAAAGTGCTCAAGAGGGTGAGCCTGAACCCCAGCCTGCAGGTGAGGGGGGCTGGGGGGGCTGGGGGAACCTGGGGGGTCCTGGGGGGATTGGGGAGGGTCCTGGGAGGGGATCTGGGGGGGATCTGTGGGGTTTGGGGGACCCTTGCAGGGATCTGTGGGGTTTGGGAGGGGATCTTGGAAAGGATCTGTGGGGTTTGGGAGGGATCTGTGGGGTTTTAGGAGGGATCTGTGGGGTTTCCGGGGGATCTGTGGGGCTTGGGGAAGGATCCGTGGGGTTTGTGGGATCCTGGCACTGATCTGTGGGGTTTGGGCAGGGATCTGTGGGGTTTGGGCAGGGATCTGTGGGGTTTGGGAGGGATCTGTGGGGTTTGTGGGATCCTGGCACTGATCTGTGGGGTTTGGGCAGGGATTTGTGGGGTTTTGGGGGCCCCTGGCTGGGATCTGTGGGGTTTGGGCAGGGATCTGTGGGGTTTGGGGGGGTCCTGGGAGAGATTTGTGGGGTTTTGGGGACCCTTGCAGGGATATGTGGAGTTTGGGCAGGGATCTGTGGGGTTTGGGGGGCTCTGGCAGGGATCTGTGGGGTTTGGGCAGGGATCTGTGGGGTTTGGGCAGGGATCTGTGGGGTTTGGGGGGCTCTGGCAGGGATCTGTGGGGGTTTGAGGAGGGATCTTGGAAAGGATCTGTGGGGTTTGGGAGGGATCTGTGGGGTTTGGGGGGGATCTGTGGGGTTTGTGCAGGGATCTGTGGGGTTCTGGGGGCCCTGGCCAGGATCTGTGGGGTTTGGGAGGGATCTGTGGGGTTTGGGGGGGATCTGTGGAGTTTGTGCAGGGATCTGTGGGGTTTTGGGGCCCCTTGCAGGGATTTTTGGGGCCCCTTGCAGGCACCCGAGTCTCCAGGGCCGTCAGTGCCAGGGCCTGGGGGGATCCGTGGGGTCTGTGGGGCCGGGGGTGACCTGTGGAGCTCAGGTGACCCCTGTGTGACCCCGTGTGACCCCGTGTGACCCCGTGTGACCCCTGTGTGACCCCGTGTGACCCCTGTGTGTCCCCGTGTGACCCCGTGTGACCCCGTGTGACCCCGTGTGACCCCGTGTGACCCCTGTGTGTCCCCGTGGCTGGCAGGAGGCCCTGCACACGTTCCCCCAGCTGCACGCAGAGCCCGGCGAGTCCCTGGTGCGCCTGCGCCCGGGCGGGGACCCCTACAACCGCAAAACGCTCAGCAAGGTCAAGAGGAGCGTGGGCAAACCACAGGTACGGGATTGGGGGGGTCCTGGGAGGGCACAGGTGGGGTTTGGGGGGGTCACAGGTGAGTTTTGGGGGGTCCCAGGTGAGGTTTGGGGGTACCAGGTGGGGTTTGGGGGCTCCATGGGACCCCTACAACCGCAAAACGCTCAGCAAGGTCAAGAGGAGTGTGGGCAAACCACAGGTATGGGATTGGGGGGGTCCTGGGGGGGCACAGGTGGGGTTTGGGGGGTCCCAGGTGGGGTCTGGGAGTCATGAGAATGATCCGAGGTGGGTTTTGGGGGGTCACAGGAGGGGTTTGGGGGGTCCTAAATGGGGTTTTGGGGGGTCACAGGGGGGTCACAACCCCAAAATGCTCAGCAAGGTCAAGAGGACCGTGGGCAAGCCCCAGGTATGGGATCACAGGTGGGGTTTGGGGGTCCCCAGGTGGGTCTGGGGGTCCCAGGAGATCCCCAGGTGGCTTTGGGGGGCTCCCAGGAGATCCCCAGGGGGGTCTGAGGGGTCTCAGGTGGCTCTGGGGGGTCCCTGAGCTCCGCTGTCCCCGCAGGAGTTCAAGGTGGAGGTGGAGAAGTCGTTCCTGTACACGCTGTACCACTCCCTGCACCACTACAAATACCACACCTTCCTGCGCTGCAAGGACGAGGTGAGGCCACCTGGGGGTCACCTGGGCCACCTGGGGGACACCTGGGCCATCCCCTGTCACCTGGGCCACCCTTCTGTCCCCATGCCCCCCATGTCCCCCACACCTTCCTGCGCTGCAAGGACGAGGTGAGGCCACCTGTGTGTCACCTGGGTGTCACCTGGGCCACCTGTGTGTCACCTGTGTGTCACCTGTGTGTCACCTGTGTGTCACCTGGGCCATCCCCTGTCACCTGGGCCACCCCCTGTCACCTGGGCCACCCTTCTGTCCCCATGCCCCCCATGTCCCCCACACCTTCCTGCGCTGCAAGGACGAGGTGAGGCCACCTGGGGGTCACCTGTGTGTCACCTGTGTGTCACCTGTGTGTCACCTGTGTGTCACCTGGGCCACCTGTGTGTCACCTGGGCCACCCTTCTGTCCCCATGCCCCCCATGTCCCCCACACCTTCCTGCGCTGCAAGGATGAGGTGAGGCCACCTGTGTGTCACCTGTGTGTCACCTGGGCCATCCCCCTGTCACCTGGGCCATCCCCTGTCACCTGGGCCACCCCTCTGATCCCCACATCACTTCTCTGTCCCCTCACGCTGGCCACCCCACTGACCCTTCCCCACCCCACTGACCACTCCCCATCCCTCTGACCATTCCCTGTCCCTCTGTCCCTTCCCCCTGACCATTCCCTGTCCGTGTGTCCCCTTCCCTGTCCGTGTGTCCCCTCCCCACTGCTCCCCACTGACCGTTCCCTGTCCGTGTGTCCCCTCCCTGTCCGTGTGTCCCCTCCCCACTGACCGTTCCCTGTCCGTGTGTCCCCTCCCCACTGACCGTTCCCTGACCGTGTGTCCCTGTCCGTGTGTCCCCTCGCGCTGACCGTTCCCTGTCCGTGTGTCCCCTCCCTCTGACCGCTCCCTGTCCGTGTGTCCCTGTCCGTGTGTCCCGTCCCTCTGCCCATTCCCTGTCCGTGTGTCCCTGTCCGTGTGTCCCTTCCCCCTGACCGCTCCCTGTCCGTGTGTCCCTGTCCGTGTGTCCCTGTCCCTCTGACCGCTCCCTGTCCGTGTGTCCCCTCCCTCTGACCGCTCCCTGTCCGTGTGTCCCTGTCCGTGTGTCCCCTCGCGCTGACCGCTCCCTGTCCGTGTGTCCCCTCCCTGTCCGTGTGTCCCCTCCCTGTCCGTGTGTCCCCTCCCTCTGACCGCTCCCTGTCCGTGTGTCCCCTCCCTCTGACCGTTCCCTGTCCGTGTGTCCCCTCCCTGTCCGTGTGTCCCGTCCCTCTGACCGTTCCCTGTCCGTGTGTCCCTGTCCGTGTGTCCCTGTCCCTCTGACCGTTCCCTGTCCGTGTGTCCCCTCCCTGTCCGTGTGTCCCCTCCCTCTGACCATTCCCTGTCCGTGTGTCCCTGTCCGTGTGTCCCTGTCCCTCTGACCGTTCCCTGTCCGTGTGTCCCCTCCCTGTCCGTGTGTCCTGTCCCTCTGACCGTTCCCTGTCCGTGTGTCCCCTCCCTGTCCGTGTGTCCTGTCCCTCTGACCGTTCCCTGTCCGTGTGTCCCCTCCCTGTCCGTGTGTCCTGTCCCTCTGACCGTTCCCTGTCTGTGTGTCCCCTCCCTGTCCGTGTGTCCTGTCCCGCTGACCATTCCCTGTCCGTGTGTCCCCTCCCTGTCCGTGTGTCCCCTCGCGCTGACCGCTCCCTGTCCGTGTGTCCCCGCAGACGACGGCCATCGAGGGCCGCGCCGAGGACCTGGGCCAGGAGGAGGTTGTGCAGCGCTGCATGCGCAACCAGCCCTGGCTCGAGCGCCTCTTCGACTCCTTCAGCGACCTCCTGGCCCAGGCGCGCGCCAAGTGCGCCTGAACCCCCCCAAAAACGGGGATCCCCCCCCGGCCCCCAAAAAAAACCGGGGTGACCCCCCCGGGATGGAGAGGGGGACAACGCCGGGAACAAGGACTGAACCTCCTGCCACGGGGATGGACGGACGGATGGACGGAGCTGCCGGGATGGGGACACCTGGACCCCCCCCACCCCACAGTGGGACACCCCAAAATACGGGGGACACCCCCCTAAAATGGGGACACCCCCCCCCGAAAAGATGGGGACCCCCCCCTTCCCCAAAATCGGGGTGACAGCCCCGGGATGGAGGGGGGACAAGGACGGAACCTCCCGCCATGGGGACGGAGCTGCTGGGACGGGGACACCAATGGGGGGGAGACCCCAGCAAAATACGGGGACACCCCCCCCCCCCAAAAATGGGGATCCCCCTAAAAATGGGGGGACCCCCCCAAAAGATGGGGGATTCCCCCCAAAATTGGGGTGACAGCCACAGAACAGCAGCGGGACAAGGACTGACCCTCGTGCCATGGGGACACCAATGTGGGGGAGACCCCCCCCCCAAAAATACGAGGACCCCCCCCTAAAATATAGGGACCCCCCCAGAATATGGGGACCACCCCCAAAATTTGAGAACTCGCCCAAAATCTGGGATCCCCCCCCCCTCAAAAAATGAGGTGACACCCCCAGAATGGCAGAGGGGACAAGGTCCCACCATGGGGACACCAATGTGGAGGGGGCGCCCCAAAATATGGGGGGACCGCCCCCCCAAAAAAAATTGCACCCCAAAATATGGGGGGACCTCCCCCCCCCAAAAAAAATTGGGACCATCCCCAAAGCCCCTCAAAATGGGAAAATGGGGGGGGGGTCTGGGATAAGGATTGAAGCTCCTGGGATGGGAATGGGGACACACCTGAGAGCCCCCCCACCCACCAGGGCACCCCCAAAATTCGGGGGGGGGCCCCAAAAATGGGAGGGGGCACGCCCAGGAATTGGGGGATCCCCTGGGGGTGGGAGGGCCCCCCAAAAATGAGGACACCCCAAAAACGGGGACAGCTCTGGGGGAACCCCCCCCATTTCCTGACAGGGTTGGGGACCCCCCCAGGTGACAACGACCCCCCCAAAATTGGGGGACACCTCCCCCCACGAGCTGCACCCCAAAAATGGTGACCCCTGCCCCCCCCTCTTTGAGGACAGCCCTCCCCCCAAAATTGGGGCACCCCCTTTTTAGGGACCCCCCCCCAAAATCACCCAGCAGGGTCCGTGTGTCCCCCTCCCCCTTTTTCTCTGGGGTGGGGGGGCACAGATACAGGGACCCCCCCCCCAAAAATAAAAAGAGAGGTGTCCCCCACCCCCACCCGAATCGGGGGGTCCCCCAAAAAAACGCCCCCCCCGGCAGAGCCCCCCTATTTATATATATGTATAAATGTCTATTAGCAGCCCCCTCTCTCCGCCCGGGGGGGGCCCCAAGTTTGGAGGGGGTCCCTGATTTTTTTTGGGGGGTGGGGGCGCCCCAACATCGGTGTCCCCTTGGGCTCCCCCAAAATCCCAGGCAGCCAACAGGGTTTTTTTGGGGTGGGGGGGGGGGGGGTCCCCCCAAAATTTGCCCCCCCCCGCCCTTTCCGGGACCACCCCTCACCCCCCCCTCGAGGGGAAGCTGTACATAAATTTGGGGGGGGGGGGGGGGTGGGGGGCTCATAGGGGGGGTCCAAAGTTGGGGGGGGGGGGGCCCTGCCAAGGGATGGGGAGGGGTCCCCAAAATCACCATCAGCCCCCCCCACCCCCCCCTGCCGAGCTATTTATTGCCAAGTTACCCCTCCCCCCCCCCCCGGATGAATTTGGGGGGGGTTAAAAGGGAGGGGACACCCCCCCCCACTACCCACCCCCCCCCCCCCGTTCCCCGGGATTTTGGGGGGTGCGGGGACCCCCCCTTATCCCCCCCCCCCCCTTCCCCACCCGGGATTTTGGGGAGGGGGGGTCTGTAAATAGTGTATATGGTCAAAGTCTCTATGTATCATATTGTATTTGCCCCCCCAACCCCCCCCCGGGGGTCGCATTTGCCCCCCCCCGGGGCAGTTACCCCCCCCCCTCCCCCCCCCGGGGCATTTATACCCCCCCAGGGGTACATTTACCCCCCCCTCCCCCCCCCCTTCTGCCCCAAAATTTGCCCCCCCTGGGTGGGGTCAAATCTCCCCCTCCCCAGGTGTCCAACACACAACCCCTCCCCCACCGTGGGGGGCTTATTTCCTCCCCTCCCCCTCCCAATTTGGGGGGGGGGGGCTTCTCTCCTTTCCCCCTCCCCCTCCACCCTCTCCCCATTTTTTTGTTCATTTCGGGGTTTTTTTTAATTATTATTATTATTATTATTATATATATTGGGGCCCCTCCCCCCCACTCCTTCCCCCCTTTCCCTCCCCCCCCCCCCCGCGGGGTTTTTGGGGGGGGTGGGGGGGGGGGTTTGAGGGGCCCCCCCCGGTACCCCCCCCATTTTCTACGGTGTATCGTGACGGGCGTGTCGTGGGTGTTGCCGAGACCTTTTTATCGTTCCCGAGGCTCCGCGAGTTTTTTTGGGGTGAAAAAAGGGGAATTTGGGGAGGTGGGGGGGTGGGGAGGTCACACAATTTGGGGGGGTGGGGGTCAGATCTGTGGGAGTCACTCAACTCTGGTTTGAGGGTCCCATAATGGGGGTCTCGTTTTTGGGGTGGGACGTCAGATTTTAGGGTTCACCATTTGGGGAGATTGTGAAAATAGAGTTCAGATTTTGGGGGGGTTGTGTGAGTTTGGGGGGGGCTCAGTCTCGGGGTTGAGTTTTTTGGGGGAGGTCACACAATTTGGGGGAGTCTCATGATTTGGGGAGGGGGTCTGAGATTCCCAAAATACAAATACACAATACAGGACCCCCCAAATTCCCGCAGAATCCCCTGCAAGGATTTGCTGTGCCCATGGCAGCTTTAAGGAATCCAAGCACTCCAGGGCTCTCTTTCAATCATTTTCCTCACAATTTTCCCTTCTTTAATCACATTTCCCACCCTTTTCCCCTCAAGTTTCCCACCATTTTTCCTCTCATGCTTCCCACCCTTCTGTCCCTTCACATTTCCCATCATTTTTGGCCTCATGGTGTCTGCATTTTTTCCCTTTCTCTTTTACACCCATTTTTCCTCCTCTTTCCTGTCTTTTTCCCCCTCATGTTTCCTTCCCTTTTCTCCCCTCACATTTCCCTCCATTTCTCCCCTTCTGTTTCATCCCTTTTTGTCCTCTCATTTCCCATAATTTTCACTCAAATTTATTGTCCTTTTTACCTTCAATTTCCTGCCTTTTCTCCCCTCACGTTTCCCACCATTTCTTCCCTCACGTTTCCTCCCTTTTCTCCCCTCACGTTTCCTGCTCTTTTTCCCCTCACATTTCCTTCCCCTTTCTCCCCTCACGTTTTCCCACCATTTCTCCCCTTCTGTTTCAAACCTTTCCTTCCTTTCCTTTCCCTCCTTTTCACTCCACTTTATTCTCCTTTTTCCCTCCCATTTCCCACCTTTCTTTCCCCTCATGTTTCCCCCCCTTTTCTCCCCTCACGTTTCCCGCTCTTTTTCCCCTCACGTTTCCTTCCCTTTTCTCCCCTCACATTTCCCACCATTTCTCCCCTTCTGTTTCATACCTTGTCATCCTCTCATTTCCTGTCCTTTTTGCTCAAGTTTATTGTCCTTTTTGCCTTCCGTTTGCTGCCTTTTCTCCCCTCACATTCCCCACCATTTTCTCCCCTCACATTTCCCGCCCTTTTCTCCCCTCACATTTCCCGCCCTTTTCTCCCCTCACATTCCCCACCATTTTCTCCCCTCACATTTCCCCCCTTTTCTCCCCTCATGTTTTCCACCCTTTTCTCCCCTCATGTTTCCCCCCCTTTCCCCCTCACATTTCCCACCCTTTTCTCCCCTCTCATTTCCCACCTTTTCCTCCTCACTTTTCCCACCCACAATTCTCACTTTGACCCCACCAAGTTCCTCTGCAAGCCTTAGCGTAATTGCTTCCAAATTCTTTCAAAAATGGTGAACTTTATCCATAGGTAGAGCTCCCTCTATGGTGCAGTCCTTATCAACTCTGTAGTCAATTTAAGTAAGCTCGTTGTTTCATTTAAAAAGATACTAGATATCAAACTAATATATATAATAGACATTAACAATATTTATTTAATATATTCATAACATATATTCCTAATGTGTATATTTTCCTAAAATACCTAATATATATTAATAATATATATATGTTACTAATATATACACGTTAGTAACATATATATATATAATTTATCTACCTTGTTTACTTATTAAATTATATCTATAAAGTAATTAATTTTAAAGAACTATAGGGGCTTCAGAGCGGTCTGTGGCTGGGCTTGGATCCAACCACACCGACTCCTCCCCGAGGATTTCAGAGAGCCAGGTCCGGGCACTGAGGATCCTTCTCTGTGGCCTGCAAAATTTCAGATATTTCAGAATATTTCAGGTTCTGTGACAGAAGCAGAGCCCACACGAGCCCAAAAGGACCAGCAGATGCATTGGGGCCATGTGGCCACCACAGCTCCTCTTACCTTCCTGCCAACAGATGGACTTGGAGGGGCTGCTGAGGCCATCCAGAGCCATCAATCAGCTTTTTGTGTCTTGAGTGCCTTGAAAAGATGTCCCAGGAGCTTCCCCAGGACCAGGATCTGGATCTCTGTCCTCATTTTGACCAGCCTGGGCGAGGCAGGAGGAAGAGCAGAAGGGCTGAGGGTGGGCAGGAGCTCCAGGGGTGATTCCAGACCACCTCAGGGGCTGTGGGAATGGATCCCTATCAGTCATGGCTGTGCTTTGAGAGGGCCTTCAAAAGCCAGGGCATCCTTTGCATGATGATGATGATGACGATGACGATGATGATGATGATGATGACAACAATGATTCAGCAGGTGTTGGAGTTGGTGTCCCTGGCAAGCCCAAGATGTGAAGGTCCCTCTCTGCTCAGTGGCACCAGCAGCACAGCCGGCGCAGGGTTGATTCTTG